ACGTAGTTCCTACTATACTACGTTCACCCTTGGCTAAGACTGTCTAGCTCCCCAAAATATGAGGCTGACGAAGAGGGTGTAACAGCAGATCGCATGCACCAGGCCATCATGGAGTTGAGATGCGAGTCCCAGTCTTCAGATGTCAACGAGGTGTCAAAGACTTTCGAATCGGAGCACACCCGGCTGTCTCTTTCGTAAGTGACAACCTCATTCAAGTTCGAGCTCCTTATAATACATCTTTTACAGCGAACCGGGTGTTCCACAGGATGCGGGAATCAATTTCATTCAGTCTGGACGAGAGCACCAGACCTCAGAGATCAACGTAGCTTCAAAGACTTTCGTGCGAACCTCAAGCCATCGCTCAATTGAGAACAGAGTTCATAGTTCTCTAGCCACTGTGCAAGAAGGACCCCGGTGCCAACCTCGTCAAAGCGTCGGAATGCTCGGGCGATCGACGTCAGACACTGTGACAGCGAACAATGATAGGCGGATGGATAAGGACGCCGAAGACACTGCGTTTCCCCTGTCCTCGACTACTATAAGGTCCAAGCTGTCAATCGCGTAAGTAGTGCGCTATTTGAATTTCTTACGGTGGAATAATTTCTTTGCAGTGAGCCAGACATTCTACATGATGTGGCCACCTCTTCAAAGGTCATCACGACCTTAACGGATTCCATGCAGACTTCGAGTTATAGGTCGACTGTGAACAATGAACATGTCTACCAACAGCCAGCCCGAACTTCCTCCTGGAGTAACGAGTCCCCCATCAACCAATCGCAAACAACTACCCCCGTCCACCTGTTCTCGGTACCTGGAGAAAACAATCCAACTCCAGCACAGCCCTTCACCGTAGAATTATCCAAGAACACGCAGCAACCGAGTCCAGCCTTTAATAGTTCGGATTCATCTTTACCTGAAGGCGTGCCCACGACAGGTCAGGCCTCTTCTCCGGCCACTTACGAATGCGGGGAACCCTGCGGTCGAGATGAAGCTAGAGACCTGCCTAGTCAAGGCTCCTCGTACGTTGTATCTACTTCTACGTTGCGCTTGCCATCGACTTAGAATTGTCTAGTACACCGAAACTCAGGGACGACAAAGAGGACATATCGGCACACTGCACGTTCCAGGGTATTGTCTCGAATTCGGGCGACCATCTTGCGCCATACGCGGAAGGAACCCTAGGTGGAGAAGACCATTGCCTGAAGGCAGGACCAACAGTCACATCTGTGACTTGTGATTCAATCACAGTCCAATGCTCATCTCAGACGAATCAAGAAAATACTTCATGTGCTGCTGACACGAGACGATGTGATGCACTGGGGAATGCGTGTGATACTTGCTCGATACCGCCAGATGACTGTGGGGCATGTACAAACACGGCGCCTAATGATTGTCCCCCGGCCGATGGACAGTTGACACAAACTGCTGCTATCGATTGCGCACATGAATGTCCTTCGACTATGGACTCCTTACCAGTCAAATCGTGCTGTCCTGAACCCAAGGGGCCTCTTTCGTACGTGTCGTACATTTTGAGGCTTGACATTGTAATGAACTTCGTGCAGAGAGCCCTGTGGTGACGTCATCAAGAAATCAAGTTCAGGCGATTGTTGTCATCCTGCGCCATGCGCTGAAGGAACCTCAGATGTGAAGGTTCGAGAAGGCGATTGCACGAAGGCACAACCAACAGTCACATGCGGTGTGATCTGTGATTCAAAGACCGTCCAATGCTCATCTCAGACGGAGAATGATACTTCATGTGCCGCTGCTGACACGAAACGATGTGATGCGCGGGACACCTGCTCAATGCCGTTGGATGCTTGTGGGCCATGCACACACACGGCGCCTAATGACTGTCCCCCGGCCGATGGACAGTTGGCGCAAACTGCTGCTACCGATTGCGCATATAAATGTCCTTCGACCATGGACTCCAAACCATGCTGTCCTGAACCTAAGGGACCTCCTTCGTACGTGTCATATATTTCGAGGCTTTATAATGTAATAAACTTCGTGCAGAGAGCCCTGTGGTGACGTCATCAAGAAATCGTGTTCAAGCGATTGTTGTCCTGCACCATGCACTGAAGGAACCCCAGGTGTGAAAGCTCAAGAAGGCGATTGCATGGAGGCAGGATCAACGGTCACTTGCAGTGTGACCTGTGATTCAAAGACCGTCCAATGCTCATATCAGACGGAGAATAATACTTCATGTGCTGCTGCTGACACGAAACAATGTGGTGCGCGGGACACCTGCTCAATGCCGTCGAATGATTGTGGTGCATGCACAACCGCGGCGCCTAATGACTGTCCCCCGGCCGATGAACAGTTGGCACAAACTGCTGCTACCGATTGCGCATACAAATGTACTTCGACCACAGACTCCAAATCATGCTGTCCTGAACCTAAGGGACCTCCTTCGTACGTGTCATACATTTTGAGGCTTTATATTGTAATAAAATCCGTGCAGAGAGCCCTGTAGTGATGTCATCAAGAAATCGTGTGCAAGCGATTGTTGTCTTGCGCCATGCGCTGAAGGAACCCCAGGTGTGAAAGTGCGAGAAGGCGATTGCACCGTGACGAAGGCAGAACCGACAGTCACATGCAATGTGACTTGTGATTCATACACCGTCCAAACTTCATCTGCTGCTGACACGAGGCAATGTAGTACGCAGAAGTCTGCGTGTGACACTTGCTCAGTCCCGTCAGATGATTGCGGGGCATGTACGACCACGGCACCTAATAATTGTCCCTCGCCTGACAAACAGTTGACCCAAACTGCTACAACCGATTGCGCACATAAATGTTGCCCAACCGTGGACTCGCCAGTGAAACCATGCTGAAATATGCTTTCCATGTACGTGCCAAAAAATTGATGATCTGATGCTCATTATGATTCTTTTCCTCAGAGGAAGAAACGCAAAATCGTCTTTCAAGGTGTTTACATGTGAGATGAACGAGAATGAACATGAGGAATTTGGTGTTGCACTCAAGGCGAACTCCACTGATGGACGAGACTATCGTAGATTGAACTTTCAAGCTTCTTGCTTCATGCTGAAACAAGCACCGACATAACTTAGAAAAGTGCATTGAGGAGTTAGCGGGTATATAGTTTCTAACGACGTGCCTGCATTTCATAGCAAGACTCCCGTGACAACCCGTGAGTCGTATGAGTGGGAATAACCCAACGCAATACTGGGAGGGTACGATGGAGATTGCATGTCCGTGGGGCCCAAAACAAAAGAGTTGGTCACTTACGCCCATTCGTCATCTGTCGAAATTCTCACTGGTGGCTTTCGTATTGGAGTAGTGATTTCGTCAATAAGTGCGGTACTGCAGTGCTAACAGGGGGCATCAGTAAACCGGTGAGTTCTTGCTGGGGATTATGCTGATTATGGTGCTTTTACATGGTCATATATTGCTTTATATCACTTTATATTACAATGTGACGAAAACCTTTCCTATATATTACGATATATAACGATATATGACGATATCTTCTTCTCACAGGTTCTCTGATGGGGGTGTTCCAGATACATGGCAAAATGAATAGTGTTGGCGAGAATGAGCATAACCGAGATGCGGTGTATCAAGTCAAGGGGCATGTCACGGTCCACCGGAACGTATGACAGGAATGGTCAAGGACTGCGTGCTCAATCAAGGCACATTATTTGACTGTAGCAGGGGTGTTATGATATAACAGATGGGTACAATGATACAGATCGGAATCAAGTGGCCAGTGGGTTTTTCGGGGGCGTGGATTGAATACGTGTTTTGGGGCTGTTAGGCCGGTCAAATGTTCATCACCGCAGGCAAGCTCCGGATGGCAAGGATTATGTGCTCACACAACAGGACGAGGAATGCCTGGAGATCTTCCATCCGATAAGGTGAATGGATGCTTCGCAACATTTTCGCAAGTACCGTACTGGCGGCTTTAGAATCAGTAAACAAATAGCAAGCAAGTTGCTATGATCAATTGTATTCCCACGTTCTACTAGTCCAAGTTCCAATACTGGGCCATCCAGAAAGTCAGGGATTTGGCCAGTCTGGGACAGAGCCTGGGAGGAAGTATGGGAGAAAGTATGGGACATCGGCACCTCCGAGCGGAATTCAAATTCCGTTCGATGTTTCAAACGATCATGTCAATCAATCCCGCCAACGTGCCCGCCGCCACCGCCGCCTAACATCTCACTGGAATATTAATGCTGCATGTTCATGCTTCGCCTCAACTCTGCCCGCCACAACTCTGCCCGCCACTCTCCTTGCTCACCCATCTCCTTGCTCACCCATCTCCTTACCCGCCCCTCTCCCTGCCCGCTCCTTTTTGAAACATTCATACTCCGCTTGAAGGTGCCGATGTTAAGGACCGAATCAATATATGACATAGTAATGAGCTCGCTCTGTTGCTGTATGGCTGCAAAAATACTCGCAACGACCATGGAAGTAAGTCCTTAGTATTATTACAGACATTAAGGAAGCGTGAGGAACAGTGACGGAAGTCGGTCCTTGGCACCGTTGCAGACAGTGAGCAAGTGTGAGAAACAGTGACGGATACAGAATTATTCATACTCCGCTTGAAGGTGCCGATGGGCTTGCCGATGTCCCAGACTTTGTCCCATACTTTGTCCCAGACTTGCTCCCAGACTTTGTCCCAGACCGGCCATTTCAGAGACGCCCTCGGGCCATCATACTATATGACGGGGGCAACCAGCTGTGTAACACTATAGCCTTTCTCCTCTATCATATGAAGACCAAATACTAGATGGAAGATAGTTGTTCCTTCTATTTTTCCATGTCATAGTGCCTGTCCACGCGCACGTTTGGTTTCAGCCGGACGTTCAAATCTGCTTCTACTAAATCACACATTGACCATCACCCTAGTAGCACAAATGGACTCTAAGAGTTGAAGCTCGATTGCTCAACTATTTTATATCGAAAGTGGAGTGGTCACAGTGGAAGGCTAGTAGTACTAGTGCTTTCTGTCATGCCTCGCATATTTTTGATGCCTTTACCAGAGCTCGCTGACAAGGGCCCTTGCTCGAAGTAAATGAATGGTAAAAACGCGCCTGTGACATTCTGTCGGAAGTCATAGTTATATGTAATTGAAGGCCAGTGAACACACCATGTCACCCTCGTGTTTTTCGTACGAGATTTGGACCCGACGCGCAGCTGCAGTGCGGTTTCAGGCTGCAATACCCTAGCCCCATGTAATTTTGGGACAGGGCCTCAACCTCACCATGGCCTTCTAGCTGGCCGTTAAATTCCTGGGATCGCTGAGGACTCACCATATCATTTCCCTCGCACTGGCAGGTCTGTAGTGTGCGAGTATTGCAGTTTCAGCTCGCTGAGTGGGTATTTATTTTGACTTTACACCATTTTGCATTCAATTGGAGACCTTTCACAGCGAGATGGGGCAGTGGTCATCATCTTTTGTTATCCGCCCCCCCGGTCATGGAGATGAATCCGCGTCTCTGAACAATCGTGCAGTCAGCCTTCAATACAGATTCCTGCAGCGGGGCATCATGTCTGACCTCGATGAGGCCATCGAGCTCCATCGTGCTGCATTACTCCTCCGTCCACCCGGTCATTCAGAAAGATCTATGTCTGTGAATAATCTTGGAGTCAGCCTTCAACACAGATTCCGGCAGCGGGGCATCATGTCTGACCTCGATGAGGCCATCGAGCTCCATCGGGCTTCATTACTCCTCCGTCTCCCCGGTCATTCAGATCGATCCGCGTCTCTGAACAGTCTTGCTGTCAGCCTTCAAGACAAATTCCTGCAGCGGGGCATCCTGTCTGACCTCGATGAGGCCATTGAGCTCTATCGGGCTGCATTACTCCTCCGTCCTGCGGGTCATGCAGATCGATCCGCGTCTGTGCATGATCTTGCTACCAGCCTTCAACACAGATTCCTGCAGCGGGGCATCCTGTCTGACCTCGATGAGGCCATTGAGCTCCATCGGGCTGCATTACTCCTCCGTCCTGCGGGTCATGCAGATCGATCCGCGTCTGTGCATGATCTTGCTACCAGCCTTCAACACAGATTCCTGCAGCGGGGCATCATGTCTGACCTCGATGAGGCCATCGAGCTCCATCGGGCTGCATTACTCCTCCGTCCCCCCGGTCATTCAAATCGATCCGAGTCTCTGAAAAATCTTGCTGACGGCCTTACAATCAGATTCCGGCAGCGGGGCATCATGTCTGACCTCGATGAGGCCATCGAGCTCCATCGAGCTGCATTACTCCTCCGTCTCCCCGGTCATTCAAATAGATCCGCGTCTCTGAACGGTCTTGCTGTCAGCCTTCAAGACAGATTCCTGCAGCGGGGCATCATGTCTGACCTCGATGAGGCCATTGAGCTCTATCGGGCTGCATTACTACTCCGTCCTCCGGGTCATTCAGATCGATCCGCGTCTGTGCATGATCTTGCTACCAGCCTTCAACACAGATTCCGGCAGCGGGGCATCATGTCTGACCTCGATGAGGCCATCGAGCTCCATCGGGCTGCATTACTCCTCCGTCTCCCCGGTCATTCAAATAGATCCGGGTCTCTGAACGGTCTTGCTGTCAGCCTTCAAGACAGATTCCTGCAGCGGGGCATCATGTCTGACCTCGATGAGGCCATTGAGCTCCATCGTGCTGCATTACTCCTCCGTCCTCCGGGTCATTCAGATCGATCCGCGTCTGTGCATGATCTTGCTACCAGCCTTCAACACAGATTCCTGCAGCGGGGCATCATGTCTGACCTCGATGAGGCCATCGAGCTCTATCGGGCTGCATTACTACTCCGTCCTCCGGGTCATTCAGATCGATCCGCGTCTGTGCATGATCTTGCTACCAGCCTTCAATACAGATTCCGGCAGCGGGGCATCATGTCTGACCTCGATGAGGCCATCGAGCTCCATCGGGCTGCATTACTCCTCCGTCCTGCGGGTCATGCAGATCGATCCGGGTCTCTGAAAAGTCTTGCTGCCGGCCTTACAATCAGATTCCGGCAGCGGGGCATCATGTCTGACCTCGATGAGGCCATCGAGCTCCATCGAGCTGCATTACTCCTCCGTCTCCCCGGTCATTCAGATCGATCCGCGTCTCTGAACGGTCTTGCTGTCAGCCTTCAAGACAGATTCCTGCAGCGGGGCATCCTGTCTGACCTCGATGCGGCCATTGAGCTCCATCGTGCTGCATTACTCCTCCGTCCTCCGGGTCATTCAGATCGATCCGCGTCTGTGCATGATCTTGCTATCAGCCTTCAACACAGGTTCCGGCAGCGGGGTATCATGTCTGACCTCGATGAGGCCATTGGGCTCCATCGGGCTGCATTACTCCTCCGTCCCCCCGGTCATTCAGATCGATCCGGGTCTCTGAAAAGTCTTGCTGCCGGCCTTACAATCAGATTCCGGCAGCGGGGCATCATGTCTGACCTCGATGAGGCCATCGAGCTCCATCGGGCTGCATTACTCCTCCGTCTCCCCGGTCATTCAGATCGATCCGCGTCTCTGAACAGTCTTGCTGTCAGCCTTCAAGACAAATTCCTGCAGCGGGGCATCCTGTCTGACCTCGATGAGGCCATTGAGCTCTATCGGGCTGCATTACTCCTCCGTCCTGCGGGTCATGCAGATCGATCCGCGTCTGTGCATGATCTTGCTACCAGCCTTCAGCACAGATTCCGGCAGCGGGACATTATGTCTGATCTCGATGAGGCCATCGAGCTCCATCGTGCTGCATTACTCCTCCGTCCCCCCGGTCATTCAGATCGATCCGGGTCTCTGAACAGTCTTGCTGCCGGCCTTACAGTCAGATTCCGGCAGTCGGGCATCATGTCTGACCTCGATGAGGCCATCGAGCTCCATCGGGCTGCATTACTCCTCCGTCTCCCCGGTCATTCAGATCGATCCGCGTCTCTGAACGGTCTTGCTGTCAGCCTTCAAAGCAGATTCCGGAAACGGGGCGTCCAGTCTGACTATGATGAAGCATTTGACTTGTACTCTCAACTCTCCCACCTATCCCATGCAGCATCTCGCACAGATCTTGGTGCTGCCAAGTCATGGGCGTCCTCCGCCTACGTCCTCAATCACCCGTCTGTATTGCTTGCTTATCAGGTTGTTGCGCTCAAATTCTTAGACCAGCAAGTTGCTCTCCTCTCGTCTTCTTCCCATCACTTCAGCGCCATCAGGGAAGCTGTTTCTTCCCTCGCCACCGATGCTTTTTCGTGCAGTGTTCATCGTGGCGCGCTAACCACTGCGGTGGAGCTGGTGGAGCAAGGTCGTGCAGTATTCTGGACACAGCTGGCACGCTTCAGCACGCCACTCGATGAACTTTCTCGTTCAGGTGACATCGGCACGGCTTTGGCAGAAGAGTTCAAACGGTTGAGCTTTTGCCTTCGTAACGCCTTTGATCAGTCTGCTGAAGATCAGTCTCCGCAAATCCGACAACTGACCATGCAATGGGATGATGTCGTCACACGCATTCGCATGCTCCCCGACTTTTCACGCTTTCTTCTGCCTCCACTGTTTTCTTACCTCCAGAGGGCGGCTGAAGATGGTCCAGTGATCATTGTCAATGCTAGTCAGTATGGCTGCGATGCCTTGATTGTCCGTAAAGCGGAAGATCCTGTCCATGTCCCGCTTGACATCACACAGGCTGAAGTGTTCGAATTCTCATCCGACTTCCACACACTCGCAGAGCAGTTTGGTTCTTCTGATAATATTCAACTCAAGCTTGTTGGCATGCTTCGCAAGCTTTGGAATGATGTCGTTGGCCCCGTCGTCCAAGCTCTCAGGGAATTGAATGCTCGCCCTGGTTCGCGTATATGGTGGTGTCCCACTGCAGAGTTCACGCTGCTTCCCCTCCATGCAGCAGGACCATACGAGCCGAAGAAAAAAAATTTGTCTGACATTTACATCTCATCTTACACCCCCACTTTGACGACTCTCGTTCGTGCCAGAAAGCAGCCTGAGGGCTCTCGAGATGCGTCGTCGCAACATTTTGTTGCTATCGGTCAAGGCAACCCAGTCAACGGGAGGGAGCTTAAATGCGTCGCTCCCGAGCTAGCCGCCGTCGCTCAGCATGTTACTCCCATCGTCTCCTTCACATCTCTTGAGGATGCCAACGCGACAGTCGACAATGCACTCGGTGCACTCGATCATAATCAGTGGCACCATCTTGCCTGCCATGGAATGCCGAATCGGAAGCAACCGTTCGAGTCTTCCTTTGCCATGCGCGACGGACCTTTGATGATCAAGGACATCATTCGATCCCACTGGCAGAACCCGCAGTTTGCATTCTTATCGGCCTGCCACACTACCGTTGGCGACGAGAAGAGTCCCGATGAGTCGATCCATCTCGCTGCAGCTATGCAATTCTGCGGATTTCGCAGTGTGATCGGTTCCATGTGGTCTGTTGAGGACGAGGTTGCACGCCAGGTCGTGTCTGCTTTTTATGGCAACCTCATTGATGATTCAAAAAGATTGGACTGCACACGCGCTGCGGTAGCGCTGCACAAGTCCGTGAAATCATTGCGCAAGAAGATTCCATTAGAGCAACAGATTGTATTTGTTCACATAGGTGTGTAGTTAGATTCGATTCGTTATGTTATTCCATTTTCTGTATCTCTAGTTGTTTGTGTTCCCTCGCTCTCATCTTGCTTACTTATTTCTGCATGATACGTATATAGTTTGTTGTTCTGTCAAGTACTGTACTTGTGTCTCACCGTGTCCCGTTGAATCAATGTGATTTACTCCTGCATCGTCACAACTTCTACTAAGTTAGCATATGATTCGGCGAGTGGTGTTACCCGTGAGCTATTAGTACCAAGGCTTGCCACCCCCATGGCATGGCGTATGTGTCTGTTCATTGATTCGCCAGCCGGCAGTGATCGTCACTCATAGGTGCCATGACGCTGTATCATGGTAGATCCTCTGGGATATGACGATTGGCAGGTCCTATTGGCGGCACCGTTGTCAAGCCATGTACAGGCACCGCAACAAAGTGCGTAGTGCCAGAATTGTTGCTTGCGGGAGAGTTTCACTCGCGTTCTACAGTTGCTGTCACCGCTGACCAGATATTCGATTTCGTACCATGTAAGGGAACTCCATTGTGCGAGAGATTCATAACATTTCATTTGTCAAGCGATCATTCCATACTTGTACAGTCTTCCCTGGTAATCTATATTTATGAATAACACTTATCTTGTGAACGGCAACAAAATAGCAGTGTACAACGTTCAACAGCAGTCAAAACATGCAGATCCTTCATATCGCCATCAGCAAATGAGGGGCTCTGAAAAACAAGACAGTCAGCATGAGGCTATGTATTCTTCAGTACGACGATAGCTTACTTTCAAACCGACAAATCTTTGCTCGTCAATCATCACGCCCGAAAAACCTTCAAGCTCATCCCTTCGACAGATGCGATAGGGCAAATTTGTCTCAATAAGGCCCGGGAAAAGGCCGTCCGACGAGATGATCGTGGGGTAATCAATGACCTCAACCCTCGCCTTGGAGTCCGGCTGCGGAGGAAAGACATGCCGTTTGGTTTTGCGTACATTGAAGTCCATCACTTGCGTGCTGCTGGATTGTAGCGGAAAGACCACTCGATGGCCATGAACGTATCTACTCATGCTTGATCAGCATGGGTCTGGGCAGGAATATTTCAACTCTTTCTTACCTTAGCCACTGATATGGTACTTGATGATGAAGCATGCGGCTCTCGTGGGGACCCCACTCCTCCCAAGGCACCTCGAAGGGGGTTGTTTCTCTTTGTTCCCGGTATTTCCGTATATATCTGAGAGGAGTGCTATTCTTGAAGAAGAGAAAGAATTTGGGCCTAGCGCCAGGGATATGCGGGTCCATCTGAATATAATCCACGGATAGAACATACATCCGCTCCTCCTGATTGGTCCAGAAAGGCGTGTTTGGAGGACACCTTGCCACAAAGTGACCGGTATGAATCGCGCAGTGCACGAAATGGCGAGACTTCAGGACAGGCAACGATAGGCTCGCTACATGGACGATTTCATGTTGATTTTCCCCAAATGTGAAAACTTGGATCGAACCACCGTCTATCCCGCGCGTGATCATGTATGCCCGGTTCAAAATGAATGAAAAGTAGCTGATATGAGTGGCAAGTCGTCGCCGTTGCGATCCTGCAAAGCCAGCGTTGGCTATAAGCTACTGGGTGTTCATAGACAGGCACTTACGACAAGTATCTGACCTGTCTTCCAATTCCAGATTGTGATGCGAGGATTGTCGAGCTCCATCCAAAACATACCAATCACATCATCCACGATTTGTATGAATGCACTGGTCATTATGGAGGGGGTGAGGGTGCGAAGAATTGGAGATGACGCTTCGGGATGCTTGACATTGGAGAAGATAGTGCGTATATGGACCGCTGTGTAATTAGAATTGTTCACTCTACATCCAACAATCAGTCATCTGTGCGACAAAAAGCGAAAGACACCAAAGACGCACAGGTCATCATCAGATTAGACAAAAGCGATGAGATCTTGCGATGGATCGATGGTGAAGTCTCCCGTGGAGATGCCTATGGCATTCCGAACCAGCGTGTGTCCAGGAGCTGACGAGGGTGGTAGCCAGGAAGAAATGAATCTTCGTGAACAGGATTGGTTGTGATCAATGCCTCCCTAAGAGAACGTCTTCGCAAATACACCCCCCACAAGCTCGTATGCGTGGCAGAAATCAGGCATGGGTACCCGAACTTCTTTCTTCCACTCGAACAAGGTCCACGCACTACGGAGGGTCCGCAGTTGTTCCAGACACTCTGAAACTGTGACGGTGCTCGGAGGGCCATCAAGCACGCAATCAAGAGCAAGCTCAATGTGATACTGAAGCTCTGCAGAGGAATCAATCGCCCTGTTCAATGTGCGGCAGACCTGAAAATTAGTCAAGTTTAAGTCCACGAGAAAAGAGCAGTATGGCACACGTACAGAGGAACACTGCAAGATAGATGGACCGTCTATATGACGAAGGATTTCTACCAGTAACTCAGAGGGTAGAAGGATCAAAGTGTTGAAGGATCCTTCATGTCTGCTTTTACAGCGGGCAGGCAGGCCACCGGTGTAGTCTGCCTTGTATCGAGTGTTGGTGCAATCATAGTAGCTGCTGTAGACGCTTCAAGTTGGTGGGTGCTAATGAAATGACGCGGCTGCAATTCAAGTTGGACTTTGATTAATGTGACTGTGGACTTGTGTTACGCTCGTCGAGAACCGTCAGCCCCGTTTCATAAATATTGTACCTTGTCTCCTTGGCCTTAATACCAATATGTCATGCTATCCTCGTCCTTTTCCCTGCTACCTTTTGAGGTAGGAGCATATATGCGAGATGGGAGAGCAGGGAGGCGCTAGGTTACGTAAATCCTCGAAAATTGAACTACCGCAATGACCTCGAGGCATGCACATGCCAACTTGCCATGATACTAATCAATCCATCACGTGTGAGCGCAAGCCTGCGCACGCTCCAGGCTTCTATACGCTGTACAAATTTATGAAGATCAAATTCTGGAAAATTCAAATCGAGTTACTTGAATAACAAATTGCCAATCGACCGCCACTGAAGTACTTATAAGGATTCACACCAGAAACAGAGTATCGTTAGGCGTCGTGCTTTGATATCCCGTCTCAGGTGCGTATATATTGTGTTTGCTTCGAATTCACTCGACCTCACGATATGATTTAGGAACGTCTTTCTCCCTTCTATCAAGGTTTGGCCAAGGGAGATTAGGACCACTGTAAGCTAGTCAAGCGTAACGTCAACCTAGCTATGACATGCAACATCTCTCATGGTCTGATTTGTTGTTTGATCTTACACCGTAACGGAGCTCGACTTACTTTGCACCTTAAAGCGTTCAAAACGAACTAGGTCTATATCAACTCGCAGTTCCAAAGTTTTTTGGCACCTAATGACTGTCCCCCGGCCGATGGACAGTCAGCACAAACTGCTGCTACCGATTGCGCATATAAATGTACTTCGATCATGAACTCCAAACCATGCTGTCCTGAACCAAAGGGACCTCCATCGTATGTGTCATACATTTTGATGCTTTAAATTGTAATAAAATCCGTGCAGAGAGCCCTGTAGTGACGTCATCAAGAAATCTTGTGCAAGCGATTGTTGTCCTGCGCCATGCGCTGAAGGAACCCCAGGTGTGAAAGTGCGAGAAGGCGATTGCACGAAGGCAGAACCGACAGTCACATGCAATGTGACTTGTGATTCAAACACTGTCCAAACTTCATCTGCTGCTGACACGAAGCAATGTGGTACGCCGAAGTCTGCGTGTGACACTTGCTCAGTACCGTCAGATGATTGCGGGGCATGTACTACGACCACGGCACCTAATAATTGTCCCTCGACCGACAAACAGTTGACCCAAACTGCTATAACCGATTGCGCACATGAATGTTGCCCAACCACGAACTCGCCGGTGAAATCATGCTGAAATATGCCTTCCATGTACGTGCCAAAAAATCGTAATCTGATGCTCATTATGATTCTTGTTCACAGAGGAAGAAATGTAAACTCGTCTTTCAAGACGTTTACATGTGAGGAAAACGAGAATGGACACGAGGAATTTGGTGGTGCACTCAAGGAGAATTCGACTGATGGACGAGACTCTCGTAGATTGAACTTTCAAGTTTCTTGCTTTAATCATGCTGGGACAAGCTTAAGCACCGACGTAATTTAGAAAAACGCGTACATATATACTTTTCGATGACGTGTCTGTATTTCATAGCAAGGCTCCCGTGACAACCCGTGAGCCGTATGAGTGGGAATGACCCAACGCAATACTAGTACTGGGAGGGTACGACGGAGATTGCATGTCCGTGAGGCCCAAAACAGAAGAGTGTCCTTTGGTTACTTACGCCCATTCGTGATCTGTCTGAATTCTCACTGGTGGCTTTTGCATTGAAATAGTGATTTCGCCAAGAAATGCGGTACTGTTAATAGGGGCGTGTTCTAGATGCATGGTAAAATGAATAGTGTTGGCGGGAATGCAACACGGAAGTATAACTGAGATAACTCATGGGCATACCACCGAAACGTATGACAGGAATGGTCAAGGACAGCGTGCTCGATCATAGATTAAATGCGTGTTTTGGGGCTGTTAGTAGGCCCGTCAAATGTTCCTAGTTATAAATGGTCATTGCGAGCGCCGGACGATGTGCTCACACAACAGGACGAGGAATCGCTGGCCGAGATCTTCCATAAGATGAATGGGGCACAGGTGTGAGTTCTGGACTCTGGAGGGACCTTTGACGGCAAACACCGTCGTGTTAACTCAGTGAGTGTTGTATGGGCGCTTATGAGTATGTCGATGATCACGCCATCCGCTGTAGGCGTGTCGCATGCTATGGTTCACACTATGATCAAAGCACATCTGCTTCAGCCGTACGTTCAAGTCTGCTTCTACTAAATCAAACATTAACCATCACCCTAGTAGCACAAATGAACTCTTAAGAGTTCAAGCTCGATTGCTCAACTGTTTTATATCGACAATGGAGTGGTCACGGTGGGAGGCTAGTAGTACTAGTGCTTTCTGTCGTGCCTCGCATATTGTTGGATGCCTTTACCTGAGCTCGCTGGCATGGGCCCGTGCTTGAAGCAAACAGATGGTAAAACACGTCTGTGATATTTTTGAAGCCATAGTTATATGTAATTGAAGGGCACTGGGCCGGGTGGATTCATCATGTCACCCTCGTGTTTTTTACATGAGATTTTGACCCGATGCGCAGTTGCAGTGCGGTTTCAGGCTGCAACACCCCAGCGCCATATAATTTTCGAACAGGGCCACAACCTCACCATGGCCTTCTAGCTGGCCGTTAAATTCCTGGGATCGCTGAGCACTCACAATACCATTTCCCTCGCACTGGAAAGTCTTGGGTGTCCTAGTACTGCAGTGTCAGCTCGCTAAGTGGGTATTCATTCTGATTTCACTCGATTTTGCACTCAATTGGAGACCTTTCACAGCGAGATGGGGCAGTGGTCATCTTCCCTTGTTATTCTAGTGTATCGAGCTGCGTTGCAGCTTGGTCCTACAAACCACTCTCTTCGACCCCTCTTTATCAACAACCTTGCAATCAGCCTTCAAGACAGATTCCGGCAGCGGGGCATCATGTCTGACCTTGATGAGGCCATCGAGCTCCATCGTGCCGCATTGCTCCTCCGCCCCCCCGGTCATTCAGATCGATCCATATCTCTGAAAAATCTTGCACTCAGCCTTCAAGACAGATTCCGGCAGCGGGGCATTATGTCCGACCTCGATGAGGCCATCGGGCTCAATCGTGAGGCGTTGCTCCTCCGTCCCCCCGGTCATTCAGATCGATCCATATCTCTGAACAATCTTGCACTCAGCCTTCAAGACAGATTCCAGCAGCGGGGCATCATGTCCGACCTTGATGAGGCCATCGAGCTCAATCGTGCCGAATTACTCCTCCGTCCGCCCGGTCATTCAGAACGATCCATGTCTCTGAACAATCTTGCTGTTGGCCTTGCAACCAGATTCCGGCAGCGGGGCATCATGTCTGACCTTGACGAGGCCATCGAGCTCCATCGTGCCGCATTGCTCCTCCGTCCCCCCGGTCATTCAGATCGATCCATATCTCTGAACAATCTTGCACTCAGCCTTCAAGACAGATTCCAGCAGCGGGGCATCATGTCCGACCTTGATGAGGCCATCGAGCTCAACCGTGCCGCATTGCTCCTCCGTCCCCCCGGTCATTCAGATCGATCCATGTCTCTGAACAATCTTGCTGGTGGCCTTGCAGCCAGATTCCAGCAGCGGGGCATCATGTCTGACCTTGATGAGGCCATCGAGCTCAACCGTGCCGCATTGCTCCTCCGTCCCCCCGGTCATTCAGATCGATCCATGTCTCTGAACAATCTTGCACTCAGCCTTGCAGCCAGATTCCAGCAGCGGGGCATCATGTCTGACCTTGATGAGGCCATCGAGCTCCATCATGCCGCATTGCTCCTCCGTCCCCCCGGTCATTCAGATCGATCCATATCTCTGAACAATCTTGCTGTTGGCCTTGCAACCAGATTCCGGCAGCGGGGCATCATGTCTGACCTTGATGAGGCCATTGAGCTCAATCGTGCCGAATTACTCCTCCGTCCGCCCGGTCATTCAGAACGATCCATGTCTCTGAACAATCTTGCTGTTGGCCTTGCAACCAGATTCCGGCAGCGGGGCATCATGTCTGACCTTGATGAGGCCATCGAGCTCCATCGTGCCGCATTGCTCCTCCGTCCCCCCGGTCATTCAGATCGATCCATATCTCTGAACAATCTTGCACTCAGCCTTCAAGACAGATTCCAGCAGCGGGGCATCATGTCCGACCTTGATGAGGCCATCGAGCTCAATCGTGCCGAATTACTCCTCCGTCCGCCCGGTCATTCAGAACGATCCATGTCTCTGAACAATCTTGCTGTTGGCCTTGCAACCAGATTCCGGCAGCGGGGCATCATGTCTGACCTTGACGAGGCCATCGAGCTCCATCGTGCCGCATTGCTCCTCCGTCCCCCCGGTCATTCAGATCGATCCATATCTCTGAACAATCTTGCACTCAGCCTTCAAGACAGATTCCAGCAGCGGGGCATTATGTCCGACCTCGATGAGGCCATCGAGCTCAACCGTGCCGCATTGCTCCTCCGTCCGCCCGGTCATTCAGAACGATCCATGTCTCTGAACAATCTTGCTGTTGGCCTTGCAACCAGATTCCGGCAGCGGGGCATCATGTCTGACCTTGACGAGGCCATCGAGCTCCATCGTGCCGCATTGCTCCTCCGTCCCCCCGGTCATTCAGATCGATCCATATCTCTGAACAATCTTGCACTCAGCCTTCAAGACAGATTCCAGCAGCGGGGCATTATGTCCGACCTCGATGAGGCCATCGAGCTCAACCGTGCCGCATTGCTCCTCCGTCCCCCCGGTCATTCAGATCGATCCATGTCTCTGAACAATCTTGCTGGTGGCCTTGCAGCCAGATTCCAGCAGCGGGGCATCATGTCTGACCTTGATGAGGCCATCGAGCTCCATCATGCCGCATTGCTCCTCCGTCCCCCCGGTCATTCAGATCGATCCATATCTCTGAACAATCTTGCTGGTGGCCTTGCAGCCA